TTTTTTGAGAGTAATTGAAGTATTTGAACTATCATGACCAAACTCAGTGACTTCTTCTATTGCAGGCATTCTTTTCCAACCATTCACATACGTACCTTTGTTACACACTGCAATGGCTTCATTATATCTTTGATTTTCTTCGAATGAATGACCACCTTTAAATTGAACTAATAATTTACCAATATTACTTCTTTCTTTTTCTCCTTCTCGTGCAGCAATTTTAGCTAACGCAGTTATTCTAATTAATTCTTCACAATTACATCTGATAACTTCATTAATTATTATATCTTCTTTAACCACATTTTTTAATAAATCAAAATATTCACCAACACACCAGACTGCAGCTTTTTTAATTGGTTGAGAGGCACTTCTCATTAATGGGAATAATTTAGTAACAGCATAAGTTTGGATATCATTTAATGAAATGATATTAATTAGTCGTTGGGTAATATTTTCATTTATGTATTTGTCTGATTCCATTGCTGTATTTAGTAAACAGTCAAACTTCCATTGAGCCTCTGCATCCACAAGCTCTACTAAATCACAAACAACTTTTGAGGCTTCTTTTGTATACTTTTCACCTTCTCCTAATGAAGTAATAATATGATGAACAATTTCTTTTTGAGAACCATATTGAGCTAATTGAGCAGAAATGTGTAAAGCAAAGAGTTTAATTCCTTCATCCTCATCTTCAAGACAATCAAGAATTCTTGAAGTAAAAGGAATTAAAAATTTCCAAATTGATTCTGTTCTTAATTCAATATATCTAAAAGCAGCGTATCGAGTATTTGGATATTCATCATATATTAATCTAATAATATAATTTATTCCCATCTCTTTTACTAATGAATCACATTCAATTTCCAATGCACATTGAGCAGCAGCAAATCCAACACAAATTCCAATACTATTTTTTGGAGAATTAATAATAATATCAGACAATACATCTTCAATATCAAATATATATTTCTTTGTATAAATTTTTTTTAATAAGTCTAATATATTACAACAAATACATGCTTGAAGTGAAACATCAAATCCATTTCCACGAGTATTTTTATTTAATATCGAAATGAGAATTGGAATACAAGAATCAAAAGCATGTTGAAATGATGGATGAGTAATAATACTAATAATTAATTTAGTTATAGGAAGAATAAAATCATTTTCAGACTTATTTAAAAATCCAATAACAGGATTTATATATTGATCAATAAGATTTGGACATTTTTTAATAATACGTAATGCTGCTGCAATAGCTTTCTTTTGTACATTTCTTATTCTTGAATTAAAAACTTTAAGGACATGAGGTGAAATTACTTGACACAATTCTTCACTACCAATGTTAGCTATTGTCGTTAGTGCTAATTCCACAATATTTTGATTATCACTTTCAAGATCTTTTTGTAAATGATTAATAATTAATGTTAATGTCTCTTGATTTTCATCAAGTAATAATCCTAATGCTAAATATCCAATTCTTTTTGTTTGAAATTCATGTGATGAAATTAAAGCAAGACATTCTATTTGAGCAAATTGTGTATTATATCCTAATAAATCTAAATAAATTAATTTCATTACATTTCTTGTTTTGTATTGATTTTCTGGCATAGTACTTCTGATATCAGCACATTCTCTTGTAATAAGAATTTTTTCTTCTTCAATAGTTTTACATGCCTTAACTCGTTCAATAAGTTCTCTTAATTTAATAGAGTGTTTTGGAGGTTCTTTGAAAGATTTCATCTGTCAAAAGTAATTCTTTCAGTTTTTTTTTTAGTTCCTATCGATTTTTTTCTATTTTTTTTTTGTTTATAAAAACAAAATTAAAAAACAAAATTAAATTTGTATTATTAATATCCAATCCATTCAGGGAATGCTAATACTTCTTCACCTATTACTCCATTATTCATTTTATCAATTTCATTTTCAAGAGCTAAACGATATTTAGGAAAGAGTTGTTTAAGCATTTCATATTCTTCAAGAGCCATTTGAATATTTCCAGTCTTTTTTAATAACCGAGCATATACTAGTCTAACAGTAACATCATTCATTGATTCTTCTCTCAGTGCTTTAATATCTTTTATTGCTTGTTGAATATTTCCAACAGAATCTAATAAAACTATTTTTCTTAAACGAATTTCCACTGACTGAGTTAAATTTAATAATGAATTTATCCATTTTATTGACTGATCATATTTCTTCATTTTCATTGACACAATAACGCCAACAGTTAATGCCTCAATAGTATTACTTAATCCAATTGCAATAGAAGAGGCTGATAATGCCTCTGAATATAACTTAAATTCTAATGAAGCACAAGCAATACCACACCATCCCTTATAACTATTGGGGTTTAATTGAATAACTATTCTATAATGTTTAAGTGCATCTTGAAATTGTTTGTCTTTCATTAAGGCATTTGCAAGATATAATTCATTTTGGACGCAATATTTAATTGATAGTGCTTTCTCAAAACAGGTAACAGCATCACTATTCTTATTTAATCCAAGTGCTTCAAATCCTAATACAATCCAAGACTCATAACACCATCTGTATTCTCCAGATTTCATAGCTAGTGCATGTAATTCTTTCCAACTTTTTAGTTGATATAGTGCTTCACCATAAAAAGGATATAAGCTCATTGCAAAAGGATACATTCTAGCAGCATTTCTTCCTAATGCAACAGTTATATTTGGGTTTTGTTCAATACAACTTATACGAGCAGCAAGTAATAATCCTTCATTTGAACCAATAATTGAATTAACTTCATTTTTCATTATAGTTGTTGCATTAATAACATCTCCTTTTTCAATAGAAACACAAGCCTTAAGATATCCATTAATAGCTGTGACATCAACAGCATTCTCTGACTCTTTTTGGGGATTAATTTCTGATGGAAATAACCTTCTTCTTGGAAATTGTTCATATGAAAAAGGAATGGTATCAGATGAGCGTGCAACAACATTACGATATAATACTTCTCCCATTTCAATAATTCTTAGTTGTGCAGAAATCAGATTACTATCAATTGTTAATGCTGACTCAAAACATCGAATCGCTTCATTTCTTCTTCCTAAATGAAAATGCATCTCACCAAGAAGATAATATAAACCTGGATTCTTATGAGAAGTAACAAAAGACGTCATTTGAGTGATACCTGCAGAATATTTCTTTGTTGCTAAAATACAAAGTCCAAGAAGGTTCATTGATTGTTCAGAAGGTGGAAGTGCAGAAAGATGAGAACGACATTCATCATATTTTGCTACTCTATACAAACACTGAGCAAATAATAATCTATTTTCATTTGAAGGTAATTGTGCATATAATAATTTTGATAAGTCATATGCACATTGAGTTAAGTTTGATAATAAATAATGATTAATAGAATCAACAAATGCAATCATGATTCATATTATTAAGTTTCTTCTATTTTAAAGTTTTTATATTAAATTTCGTGATGTAAAACAAAAAAGAGTAATACGACTTGGAATTATAATGCTTAATCCTTTTTGTTGCTGACTTTTTCTTAGCACATTACTAATAATACAAAAAGGATAAAATACAATGCCATTGGATAAGCAACAAGAATCTTCTTATCAACAATTTCTTGTAAAGTAGTAAATAAACGACTACTAGCATATGTACACCAGACAATAGCAAAAATTGCGATAATAATAAGAATTGTTATATTTCTAATGAAGTTATTATAATAGAGTCTTGATAATGTAAAAAGAAAAAGAAACAAACGAAACAAAGAGTGAAGCAATACCAAGAAGAACAAGTGGATATGATGAATATCCAAGATTAGTTAAAACAACGAAATAGTCAATATCTTTATTTGACAATAGGTTTAATATAAAATATTCTGCTAAAGAACCAATAATAGTAAATCCAAAAACATATCCAAATCTAAATTTCCCTGTTAATAGTATAGATACACCAAGTAATAACCCAAAGAATAAAGAACCAATTACATCACTTTCTATTGCTTCTATTGAACCAAATGGATTTAGTCTTGAAATAATTCTTTTTGTTATTAAGGAAAAGTCAATTCCTAATTCCTCTAATAAAGGTGGTTCAATTTCTTCACTAATATTTCCTTCAACAGCAACATTTCTTAATTGTTGACTTGTTGTACTTTCGTTTTGTTCTACAGAAGTGATAACTGTAGGAGATAACATTGGTGAAACAGATTTCATACCTATTTGAGAATTCGGTTGATTAACAGGAGGGTTTTCTGGAGTAGAAAAGTCAAAGTCATCAAAGTCCCCAACAGACCCAATGTCAAAAGTGACGAAATCTTGATCGTCTCCAAAGTCCATCTGAGAAATGGTCAAGTACTGAAATATTTAGTTCATTTTTTTTCCAATTAGATGCAAAGAAATTCTAAAGAAGATATTGAACAAAACGAAAAGAAGAAAGCAGAGCGAGTTAAAACCCGAGTTGAAATCTCTGATTTAGTGAATGAAAAGACAGGAATTCCACATCTCCAAAATTTATTAAAAGACTTTTTATTACACCAAAATGAAGATTATCTTCAGAATGTTAGTCAATTACTTGAAATATATAAAACTTGGGGAAAGAATGTACGTCCTGGTATTAGTTTTGAACAGTTTGTTGCACAATTATATAAACTAGGTAAAAATGAAATTATGTGTGTTTGTTTCTCTAACTAATAGTTACTTTATGTTTTAACTAATTTTAAACTTTAGGATTGGCTTAGAAATGAAGAAAATAAAGGTCGTACTGAAGAAGAAGAATTTCAGCCATACCAATATATGGAAAATCAAACAGAAGATATTGAACAATACTTTAATTCAACTAATGAAGATAACCAATCAATAGAAGAAGGAGAAGAATATTTTTAATTAATGAAGAATTTAATTAGTATATTAAGTCAATCAATTACAACAACTGTAACAAAAAATTGAGTAAATATTATTATTTTCATTTTTAACTTTAAAAAAGAAAACATGTTGAATATAATTTAAAGTAAATACTTATCTCATCGAATTAACAAAGGAACAAAATTGTCCCCAAGCTGTTCCATCATCAAGAAGAGCTCTAGTCATTCTTAAATAAGTAAAAGAATGAAGTCCATACCATTTTGCTTGTTTAACAATTTGATTAAATCCATTAGTATTACATCCTCCATATCCACATAATTCAAGTGCATTTTCTCCACATTTTCCAAGTCCAGCAGAAGCAGCACTCTTATAAGCTTGGTCAACAAGAGCAGCTGGATTTGAACCACAATTTCCATCAGTTCCACTCATTTCAAGACAAGTAAAATCAAATCGAGTACCATAGTTTTTGAAAACTTGAGCAATATTAGTATAAGCATTTTGATTATTAGTATTATAATAACCAGCAGTAACTTCTGCAGCATGAGAAGCATCAGTATACCACCAATGAATTCCAGAAATCTTACCTGCAATAGCTAAATTACCAAAGATTGATTTAGCAATAGAAAGTACTTTATTAGTATGATCAAGAAGAAGTTGATGATACCATCCAAGGAAGAATTTACCATATTCACTTTTATAATTATCATTTCCATTTCCAAAGAATCCTGTTGATGAGGGTGGTCTAGAATTATAATTTCCTGCATTTGATGGAGAAGAATATCCCCATTCTGAATGTCCAGCATTTGATGCAGCAGCAGCTAATTTTGAAAGAGAAAATTTATCAGAGCATTCAAACTCACCAATTCCACAATATTGGAATTTAGCTCCTGGATATGATGGATATCTAGTTTCTCCACATGGTCCCATACCTACTTGAATTTCATTAATTGTTCCATCATCAATATAACTTTGGAAGTTTTGTTTAAATGAAGTCATAAAATCTTTGTACATTTGAAGTGGTGTTCTACCTTCAAAAACAGGTTCTTCATCAGCGGCAAATGAAATATATTCATTATTAGTCCAACCTTCACGATCTTTAAAGAAAGCACCAGCTGATTCACCAGCATTAATTACCCATTGTGGAATGGGAATAGTTACTGAATCTCCTACATTTCCTCCACATTTATGGAATGACATAACTGCTTGGAATTTTAATCCTGCATTTTTAACCATTTGAACTAATTCTTTATATCCATTCCAATTGTAATTTCTTGGTGATGTTTCTACAAGTCCCCACCAAATATCTGCCATAACTCCAGCAACTCCTCCTGACTTAATTTTATTTAAATCATTTTGAAGTTGTCCTTTATTATTAATTCCATTAGAATTAACAGTGTCAAGTGGCATCATCAAATTAACTTCAGTTGCTGAGGCAAGTGAAAGGATTGCAATTAATGCAATCATCAATAATAATATCTTTCAGTTCTTTTTTGTTTATAAATACCTTCGTTATCTAATTTTAAAATAACTGAACTTAAAAATAAAGTGGAAGGATAAAAAATTAATGAGATACTATAATTTTAACTTTTTGACTAAGAAAAAAAATTTATCTTCAAAATCATATTAAAATAACAAAAACAATTATAAAAAAGTTGAAAAGTTAAGTCAAATGGAAAAAGAATATATCATGGAAAAATGTAAGATAAATTCTAAAAAAATCACCAATTCAAAAAAGTGATAATAAGAAAGAGATAATTTACGAAACGAAAAGCTAACCACTTAAAAACCTTTATAATTGAGAAATAGAAATGACGGTCCAAATACGAAAGAATGAATAAATTTTTTAAAAGTGTACATACTATTGTTAATATATTTAAACAGAATACATTGAATTTTATCTCATTGTGGATTGTTGTTTTTGGATTTTTTACTTCTTTTATTTCACAAAATTTCAGAGTTGTCTGGGTTTGTTATATCTATCAAATGACATTGATTGTGTTTGGAATCTTTTATCAATATACTCCAAAGATATTAAAACCAATTGAAGATTTGATCAAAATGTTTAATTGCTTCTTACTTACATTAGGCTTAGCATTTAATTTTATTTCAACTACAGAAATGATAAAGACTATTCGTTCAACATTCTTTGATCAATTTCTTGTTTCTCTTGACTCTTTTTTATTCCCTCATTTTTCTGAAGGTCAAATTTCGTTAATGGTTGATTCAAGTAAATATCTTAATCCAACTACATTTCATGGGAAATTATTAAATGATTATTTTGAATTGATTTATATCACCTTCTATATTTGGGGATATCTTTCATTTGGAGTTTGTTGTCTCGAAATAATTATAGAATGGTGGAAAGAAAAAAATGGACAAATTGACCTAACACACAAGATATCAAAAAAAAGTCGGTATATAGAAATGGAATATCTCGTTATTTGTTGGTCATGTACATTTTCATTAATTTTCCTTATTAATATTATTGTTCCTGGAAAAAGTCCACGATTATATTTGAAGTCTCATTATACTCATTCAATTCAAGGTTTTGGATTTTCTTCTTGGTGGAGAAATCATGTTGATAGAGATGATTCATCTGGAACATTTCCTTCTGGACATTGTGGTGAAACATTAGCAGTTGCTTTTGGTATTTACTATTCTCATAAAACGATTGGGAAAATTGTTTTTGTCATGACATTCCTTATTTGTGTTTCAACAATATGGAATAGATATCATTACTTATCTGATTTGATTATGGGTATTTTGTGTTCATTATTTGGTTATATAATAGCAAATCTTCATCTTAAAAAAAGAAGTTTGTAATTCCTGTTTATAAATATTTATGTTAAATGTAATTCATTATATTTGTTATTTTTTATTGTTTTTCGTTAATACATTCAATTAAATAGATTCATAAGGTTTAAATTTAAAGAGAGGTTCAGACTCATTATTATTTTCAGTCTAAGACTTTTATTCCTTGTTTTCAGTTTTACTAAACCAATACTATACTTTTTTGAAATGTTTTTGAAAACTCTTTTAAGGTAAGACAGACTTGAGGAAATAGATTTAATTTCATAAGGATTGTTTTTAAGAGGATTGAACCATATATTGTTATTTGTTAGTATAGAAAATAGAATAACTGAGTGAATAGAATTAATTTTGATATTGAGGTTTGTCGTTAGAAAAAAAGAAATTTTATAAATAAAATATTTCTTTTGTTTGATAAGAATATTTATTTGACAGTATTGCTGAAATAGAAATAATAATTTCTAAAATAGAAAATGTGAATTAATTATAGAGTTATTTTGAGTATAATATGAATTTGTTGACGTCATAAAAACTGTAGAAAGGGGTGGTGAATAATTGTTGATTGGTTTGTGAGAGCAGTCTAATGTATCTCCATCACTAATTCCAATGTCTTCAAATGATAGTTTTAAAGACAGGACAACTCCATTATAAAACAATATATATTGACTCAATAATAAATTATTTTTATTAAATACATGTTCAATTCCTTTTCTAATACTGTCATTTGGATTAACCTTTATATAAATTTCAGTTGAGTCTAACAATAACTTAATTCTGATCATGAACAATGCTTTATAAATTGAGACTTTTTAAGTTCTTTTTCTGACGTTTTCTTCAATACTCAAATAAAAATGGTTTTCTTTTTTTGAATTGGAACTTTAATTTTTGTATTTCAAAATAACAATTCCATTTACAAAAATCAAAAATGAAATAATTTTACTTTATTATATTCACAAAACTTAAAATATATATTTACAGTTCAAGGATGTAACAATTTAAAAGAAAACAGTTTAATTATCGCAAAACCAAACAATAAAAAGATTGGTTTACTAAATAAACAAATTAAGATTATAACTTCCTTTATATTTTAAGACATCAACTAATAAAAAGATTTAATTAACTTTTTTTAATGAAAAAAGAAATTAGTCTTTATGAAATAAATCAGTTAAATTAAGTCATTATCTTTTGTTAAAACTAGATTTACCTAACATAATTAAAAGTAACAAAAGAAACATCAAGAAATGGTGGTAGATTAAAACATCTATCAATTAAATAAATTCAAGTTACTTTACAACATGTAAAAATTTATCATTATAATATAAATAATTTCTTGATTTAGTCTTTTTACTATTGTTTATTCATGTATTTATATACTTAATGAAAATGAGGATAAATTTAAATGATTTATTAAATTCTGTTTGTCCAAAAAATGACCGATAATAAAACAATACATATAATTAAGTTAGTTACTATAAATAATATATGTTTGAAAAGAAATTTCAGTTATTTAAATGAGAGAAAGTATGGCAGATATGTATGTAAACAATGTATTATGTTATAATAAAACAAATAAAAAAATACAGCCGTAAATAGGAAAAAATAAATAAATTTAAGAAAGAGACAAAAAAAAACAGTTAAAGTAATAGTTGATGTTAAACTATTGGAATTGTCTTTATCACATTATATACTTTACTTTATTTTTATAATTTATAAATGAAAGTTAAATATTAGAATAAAATATCAAAAATAAAATAACAATTTTAATTAATTTAAAGGATATATTTCTTTTTCTAGCATTATTATAATATCATCTATTCTTATTCGTTCTTTTGGTTCTTGTTTCCATGACTGTTCAATAATTTCTTTAATATTATCTTCTACTTCATTAATTAATATTGGTCTTTTACCTGATGTGATTGTATTTGCAATGTCCCATGGATGTGGGTATGATTCTTTAGGGAAAGAGTCTTTCCACGTAATAATTTCTAGCATTGTAATTGCAAATGAATAAATGTCAGCTGGCATTTTGTAATGTTTTCTGTTCAATATTTCTGGAGCCATAAAAATAGGAGTTCCAACTGCTTTTGTGAATGTCATATTTGTCATCATCATATTAATATTTCTTGAAGAACCAAAGTCTGTTAATTTTGCATTAATTGTTGCTGGGTATTCAAGAGAGAATAATAATAAGTTATCAGGTTTGATATCTCTATGAATAATCCCATTATTGTGTAGATAAGATATTCCTTTTGCAGCATCAATTAAAACTTTTATTTTTAATTTCCTACTGAATGGTTTTTCCTTATATTTTTTCTTATAATCATTTACTGATCCATACTTTGCAAATTCAGTTACCATACAAACCTTAGTAGGAATAAGTACTGCTCCATAGAAATGAACAATATATTCTGATCTAAATTTGTCTAACATTTCTACTTCTTTTAAAAACTCACACATTGAACTTTCTTTATTTTCTACTTGTTTCATTTTCTTAATAGCAACTTCATTTCCTCTGAATCTTCCTTTAAAAACAATACCAAAACCACCTTCTCCAATTTTTTCTTCTTCTTTTACTTCGTCATAATCAAGTATAGTAGAAATTTGTGTTTTAACAATTAGTCTTAAATTGATACATTGGTTTTTACCAGTTTTTAATTCATGAACAATAATTATTAAATCCTCTTCAATAAAACAACTACACTTAGGAATAATACATATTTTAAATGGACATGCAACTCCTTTTCTGATTATTAAATTTGATGGATTTGTTTCAAGTGTAAATTTATCATTTGTTCCTTCTTTCAATGAAAATAGAATTTTTATAGGTGATTTTCCAAGATTTCCAATGACAATAGTGTCAATAGACTTCTCATTAACTGGAATTTCAATTATATCTTCATTCACAAAATCAATAACAGTCTTATTTACTAAAACACTACCAAAACTAATGAATGAAAGGTTTGACTTTGCAATAGAGAATATATTTAATTGTTTCTCAATATCTCTTACTTTTAAATATTTCAATAACCATTTACTTAACAAATAAACTCCAAGCAAAACACTTATAAGTAAAACTATTACTAAAACTATAATCCCAACTATAAATCTTGCAGGTATATGTCTTAAACAAGCATTTCCTTGTTTATTTGGTTTATTCCAACCAAAACATTTTAAACATTTAGAATTGTTTGCTTCTTTACAATTACTAATTTGAGAATAATTAATACATTTTCCCATAGAATATACGTATGTCTCTTTACAAGTTAAACATTTATTAGGATCTGTACAAATTTGGCATCCAGAAAGACATGGAGAACACATTTTGTCTTTAATAAAATACCCATCTTTACATTTAGTGCATCCATTCCATTTATTAATAATGGAATCGCAATTGGTTATAATGTTATTTGGAACACAATTATTTGATGTATCAAAAAAATAATTGTCAAGACATTCATTACACGTATCTAAATTTCTACAACTCAGGCATGAAGAATTACATTTTAAACAATTAAACCCATCAACATACCATTGATTAGCACATTTGACACATCCTCCATCTACTGTATATTGAAGACAAACATCTTTCAAATTTGAATTATACTCACAATAATGTGTTGTTGAATTTATAAAATAACCAATAGAATTACACTCAATACATTGAACACTACTTCCAATGCAAGTTTTACATTTTGAATCACATTTATTACATATGTTATTGTTGAGATATAAACCATCCTCACAACGAAGACAAAATTCATTATAAAAAGTTTTACAACCTAAAATTGTTCCACCACAAACTCCATTGACAAGTAATTTTGTTTTACAAGCTATACATTCTCCATTTGTATTATATGCATAACAATCTTCATGATAATTAGAAATACAATCTGTTCTATTGTTAAAATCTTCATTATTATCACAAGTAATACACTTATTCCAACTAATTGACTTACACTTATTAGAATGTCTACATTTACCATCAATGTCTAGAACATTATTGTTTTTACATTTGAGGCAATGTGTAATAGTACATATTTCACAATTACCAAATAATAAGGAACATTCAACACATTTATTTTCTTTTGGATAATAACCAATATCACATTCTAATATACCACTATTTAAAGTAACTATTGCATGTTCATCTTTATAACATTGATAGTCATTTTGTCTAGAAGTAGAATTATAACATATATCACAAACACTATTATTATATTTTTTATTATAATAACAATGAGAACATGTTACGTCACATGCTTCACAAGTCATTAAATTAGTCTGATATTTTCCATTAGAACATCTCATACATTTTTCGTTATGGAATAATAAACAATTATCAATAGAAGAAATAATACATTTTCTATGTGATAATGTATAATTATCTGTACAGGCAATACTATCATCATTCCAACAAACTCTTGCATTTTTATCAGAACAAGGGAAACAACTTATTAAATTATTTGAGACATAATATCCTTCTTCACAAGTTTCGCAATACCCATTATATGAATTAGTACAATGTTCAATGGGCATTATTTTGATACACTTTTTTGTTTCTAAGTCAAAATGAAAATTATTATATTCACAAATAGCACATTTTGATACTTCACCATTAATTATATAAACTTGACAACTTCCTTCAGAATGAAAATTAAGGAAATACTCTCCATCTTCATTTGAATTAATTGTATTTAAAGTAATATGATTATGACAAATAATTACAGCTTCAGATATTCTGAGAATGGTAATAGAATAACTAGTTTTAGATTCTGATATAAGTATAATCTTATTTTCATTAGCTTCTAAATTCATTGGCCTTCTTGAAAAAATAGTAACAAGTCCTTTATTCCCTTCAGGTAATTGAATGGTAAGTATTGAAGAACTATCTTCTGTTTCAATTATCATTTCAGAAACTATTCCACAACCAAATTCTTTAATATTTAAATATAGTACATCTTTTCCTATAATAAGATGTTTATCACAATTATGTATATTTTCAATAGTCACTCGATTATTAGTTACTTTAAAAGAACTTTTAACATCAACCTCACCAATATTTGTTCCTGTGAATGTAAATTGACCAGCTTCATTTATTATTTTAATATTAGGATTTATAGAAGCAAGAGTAAAATCAGATGTTATTGTAATGATTGAAGAATCAGTATTAAGGTCTAATACATACAAAGAACGTATGTTATTGATTGAAAATATTGGATTAGATACCTTAAGAATGAAATCAAGTTTTTCTCCATGAAAATCAATATTTTCAATTCCTTCTTTTGTAACAATAGTACAAGAATTTCCAGAACAAGGACAATGAGGTAAAGTAAATAAAGAAGGAGAATGATAATTTAAATCAAATAATGTTGAATTCATTATACATAAGACTGAATAATTAAATGAATATGGACAATAACGAATTAATCTATTATTTGAAAGTAGTTTGATATGTTCTGTTTCATTCATAGAAAATGAAGAAGATGGTATTGTACTAATAAGATCAACACAATTTGAACTTTGTATTGACGAAAGGAGTAATTGATACTGTTTGTTTTTACCTATTAATGTAAGAGGTGGAAGAGTATTAATTTGAAAAGAGTCTCCAATTATAATAGAAGAAAATAAATCAAAATAACCATCAGCTTGAATATTATTTTGAAGATTAATAATACCAGATGTCATTGTAAATCCTTTAATAAGAGCTGATTTAATAATAAGTTCTTTAAAACTGATTTTACCAATTACAGTTGTATCTCCATAAATATTCTCAAAAGTATTTATTACAAAAATACTTGGATTAATTTGTTCTAATATTCCAGTTCCATTATTAACAAGAGAACCAATAGTGAGTTGAGATGATTCTTTAGAAAGAATCTTTTCCCAATTCACAAATTTTGTATAAAACTTTTGAATATTAAATACTCCATTTCCTTTAAATGTAATAGTTTTCATCTTATTCTGAAATGTTACTACAGTCAAATTATGACCAGTTCCAGTCAGAACAAAAATATCTATACCATCAAAATTATAATTATTGACAATTAAATCTTGTTCAATAATGTTTTCAGTTAATCCAGTAATAATATAATCATAAATAATATTGAGAGAATAATGACCTCGGTCTATTGTATCATCAACATTTACAATACACTTTGAATCATTATAACTAAGTGATGAGTTGTGACATATGTATCTCTTAGTAAAACTAAAACAATTAACTCTTGACTCTAATAAATTACTATCATTCAAATAGAGTATGTCTTCTGTAATTTCTGAAGAAGCAGAAGAATAAAAAATGCATCTCAAATCTTTTTGGAAATATGAAGAAGGTATAATATGCATTTTATGAATTGTAACAGTAAGAAGAGGTTTAGTATCTTGTAAATAAAATGGAAGATAAATGTCAAAGTCATTGTCTGGTTTTTCATTTTCATTAACAATAGAAAAATATGAGTTAGTATCTTTAAGTATAAAATTAAAACCTTCATGTCCTAAAGTAAAAACATCACCCCATCTTCTAAATAATATTTGTACATCTGTTTTAGAATATGATTGATTAAATGTAATTGTTGGTATTGAATTAGTTGTGAGACTCCATTTAGTAATTGCAAATTTAGTAACAGTATATCCTTGAATTGGAGCAATAAGAAGATCTCTGTTAAGATTTTGAGTAAAAACATTTGGTACTTTTGGTGAATTAACATCAATAACATTATTAACTAAATTAATCCCAATGTTATTGCAATAACTACTCCAGGTATTATCATTATCATCAATCCACAGCTCTTCTTGTGACATCCAACAACTACCAATACATGTACTAATAAAAAGAAAGAAAGCTACAAATAATAACATTAAAAATTGAAATGACAGTTTTTATTTTAATTATTTAATTATTACTTTAAATCAGAAAAAATAAAGATAATACCAAATTAAATTCATTGATTCTTTTTTTCTTTTTCAATTCTTATGAAATACAACAAAAGAAAAAGATAAAATAAACTATTCTTTTAATAATTTTAATTGATTGAATAACTTCTATTTAACAAAAAAATTATAATACTATTATTATAAGTTGATATATTTACAAATGAAAAAAAATAATAAATGAAAATTAGTAATAAACACTTAAAATATCTCAAAATTTAAAAAAAAAAAAACAATAGTTAGTTTAAATAAACTGTGAGAGAAAATGAATCTTCTTCAAATGGTATTTTATTTTTTATTAAATATAATTGCATTTTATCTTTTATTACAGAAAATCCTCGTCTTGAACTATGTTTTCCTACTCCAGTAATAAACCTAACTTTACCAATTCCAGTAATTTCACTTGTATCTAAAACTTGTCGAAGAGCATTAATAGCTTCAGTTTCACCAAAACCATGCAAATCAATTTCAAGACATTTTGATAAATGGTCACCAGTCTTTCTAAGAAGAATACGTAAGTACAGATTTATTACATTTTGTTGTTTAAATTGAATCTCTCTAATTATTTCATTTAATCGTTTTTTTAAATCATTTGCATTTGAACTTCCTCTTGGGGCTAATGATAATTGATGTGCATAAATACTTCTTTCTTTGGCAAGATTAATAATTTCATTATTTGTACGTTTAACAAATTGTTCTTCTGATTCTCCAGGACGCATATCAGTTATTTTTGGTAATGAAGGTGTTTTATAAGATTGTTCTTGATCATCAGTTTCAGTGTTTGTTGTATCAGAAATTAATCCAAATTTCATTTTTAAATCATCTCTTCCATCAGTGAGAACATAAAGAATAAGTTCTATATTACCATCTAACTCTTTATATAATTTTTTTATATCTTCTTCATCAACTATTCCTTTTAATAAGTCTATTAAATATGATAGTTTTAATTTATCTGCCGAAGTCAATGAACCTTGTTCTTGTGAAAAAGAAGGATCATTAGACTCTTCAACAATTTGACTTAATGTATGACCAAATTCACCTTCAATAGATTTAGGGTGTTGCATATCATATGAATATTTTTGCCATTTCTTTGAACTAATTTCATTTGGAGATAATTGTTTTAGTTGTTTTTTTTGGTGCATTGAAGGAACATAATTTGATTGTTGAATAATAAGTGCTTCAGCAGTTTTATTTACGTCAAGTTGATTTTCTTCTAATAACATTTCTAAAAGTCCGCTATCTATTTGAGGAAATATGTTTTCAAGTTCACATAATCTTCTTAATTTTAATGGAATTTTTTCTTTTTTTGGTTTACTTTTTGATGGAGGTGGTGGTAAGTTTTCAATATACTCATCTAATTCATCCAACTGATAAGTCTTTTTTCCTTTTTGTTTTATTGAATATTTAGGTGGCATTTAATATTTAATCAAATTGTCTTATTAAAAGATTTTTAGAGATTATTCTTTTTTTTTCTTTGTTTTATTTAATAATACAAAGGAATAACATAATTATTTTTTAATGAAAATTTCAGATTATTGTTGGATTGAGTTAAAACTTGAAATTGCACGGATTTTGGAAAATATACAAAGATAAATTGAAATATTCCATAAAATTCATAAAAAGTCATAAAAATGAAATTTTATATTTTTAAAAAAAATGTTTGTTCATCACTTGAAATAATTTGGGTTTAAAATATAGTTTGGAAAGAATGTTTTCAAATAAAATCAGTTGTAGATATTTAGAAATAAAATGAGACAAGAAGAAAAGAAATATTAAAAAAATAAGATAAGATAAGAATAATAAAGAAATTATGGTTAAAACAAGACAATTTTTATTTTTTATTAAAGAAGAAAAGAGTGAAATGAGTGGAGAGAAAGGGAATATATGAAAATAGGATGAGTTGTTTTTTTGATTGGATGAAAGTAAACGAACTAAAAATGATTACAGACTAATAAGATGTATAGAAAAGGAGTTAAAGGTATTCAAACACAAATCAAAAGAGAGTCTAAGTCTTTTGAAGCAATCCAACAAGGAAGTGTGATTGCTGTACTCAATACATTAGGCTTTGGTTTTTAATTTAAAAGACCTGAAAGAATAGCAGAAAAGACTATACAATTTTTAGTTATTACTGAAGTATTTTTTAAAGGTCAGCCACTTTGTTTTGGAAAAAAAATTGATAAATATGTTGATGAACAATTTCAAACAGAAATTGTTGCTGATATGTCTCTTAATCAAATAAAGTCATTAAAAAGAAGAAGAGATTTAAACCGTGCTGCTTTATCATTTAATTGGTTAGTTGAATATCTAGAACAATTAGGATATACTGTTGAAAGAAGACCAACTAAAAGTGCAAAGAAAACATTACAAATGGAGAAAGTTAGTAAGATATCAGAAAAGAATGGTTATATTATAACTTTAACAGAAATGCAAACTATTGGAAAAGAAGTTAATTCATATGTAATTTCTCAATTCATTAAATTAGAGAAAACAACAGTCTTAAGAGAATATCATCCTTTATGTTTTGATTTATTATATTATTCTAATATTAATAAAAATAATTCTATTCCTTATTGTTCTTTATCAAATAATGAAATAAAACACCAACATAAGGCTAAAATTGAAAATGAAAATTCTTCTGATACTATTACCTTAGATGAGTGTATTTCAACACCAAAGTCATTGTAAACAATTTTATTATTATTTTATTATTTGTATTGATTAATCTGCAAAAAAAGGCGGACTAAAATTATTTTTAATTATTCAGTCTCTTTTTGTTTCGTTTTATCATTTTTATATGAAACAATTGATATTGTTGTAATTAAATCAATGTTACAGCAGTGATTCTTCATAAAGATTCTAAATTTATTAAAATATCTTCAGATTATTATTTAATGAATTTTATTTATTTTTAGACAAGATTTTTTTGAATATAATTCATAATATAAAAACTATAGTTTCAACATTTAAATATTTTCTATTAAAATAATCTCCCAAAAGAGGGTTGGTAAGATAATCTGTTTATAGATATTATTTTTATAAAATGAAAAACTAAGATGATTTTTTACACTAAAAGGTGATTCTCAAGATTTCATGTGTATTATTCCATTATTAGCAAAATCAAATATTGAGTAGTATAATTGTAGTATTGTTTTAAGTTTTTTTTATATTATGAAATAATTTATAAATAAAACAATATAATATAATGTACAAAACAATAAGGAAGTATTGTAAAAATTAAATCAGTAAAAGTTTTAATAGAATATTATCATGTTCATTACAAAGGTTTATTAAAAATAATGATAATTAGTTAGTTAATTATTAAAATATATATTATTTTCATTTCAATTTTTATTACTATCACAATAACCTTTATATATAATTATATGTCTAATAAATTATTCAAAAACAAACACATTTTAAACTCTCTTTATTAAAACAAAAACTCTCTAAGATAGAGTCAAAAATAATTCTGAGTATTGGAATATTCTTTATATAACTTTAAATTAAAAAAAAAATAAATATGTATAAAACATATTCTTTTAGAAGGTTAAAATTTTAGTATTTATAATACAAATGAATAACATAACATATAATATATATTCAAATACTGTCTATTGAAACATACTTTCTCAATAAATAAATATTAATATTTAATATTTAGATGTTATTTTATTATATTAATAAGATTAAAAGTTAAATAATCAATAATACATTTTACTTATTTTTGTTTAGTACAAGAGAGTGTGTATTTTGGTTTACATTATATAACTATTTCAACCATTAATATTTTTATGGTTAGTACAAAATTATAAAAAATTATAAAAATAATAATTTATAAACATTTATATTTATTTTGTTATCTTTTATGACATGGAAAATCTTTATTTATCAACAAATTTGATATTTAAGTTTTCTACTTATAAAATTACTTAACCCTTTTATTAGTCTAAAATGAAGTCATTCAAAAAATATATTCATTATAACATTCATACAACCACAGACAATTATTGAAATAAATTATATATTAATATTATTTTATGATATCAACACAAGTTGAAAATGAATATATCATGAATATTTAGTTATATATCAGTTTAATTCAAAGAATTGAAAACATTAATAAGAAATATATGAATAACGTAGTATATATTTATATTTAGAAAGTATTGCTAATGAAATTTAACTTAAACACAATTTGTCATGTTGTTTGTGTGATATCTATT